TGTTGTCATTTGTAATCTTCCCTCAAAACAAAGAGAGAACACTGTAGTTTTTTTCTGCAACTGGTCTGATTTGCACACCATCAAGTGGCAATATGTGCCTTTGGCAAGCGAATTAATGGGATTAAAACAGCTATCAAGCATGCTGCAGCAGAAAGATTCCCCCGCCCAGCCGCACATTGTTATCACTACGGTGAATCCTCACAGTCATAATAGAAAATGAATATCATTTCATATTTTAAAACTCTAGACAGAAGCCATTAGCAATTTATTTTTCCCAAAGAACCAGCTAATTAAAATTGTAAATAAGATTGTGCTATGTTTGCATGTACTCCTGCGAGTCTCATGAAGAACCAGAGCATAGATAGCTAGATGACTGTTCTGTGCATATTACCACCCAACTTCCCTTCCATCTGCCCATACTCCCATCAGAGTAGAGGGCCACACTCAGGGGAAAGAAAATTTATGCAAAAGGCTTCCACAGCAGAAGGCAGAATTTAAAAAGAGGGAGACCCCAGAGAGCTCAGGAAAGCTGGGTGTCTGAGGCACTGTAAGAAGCAACAGAATATTTTCCTACTGGGTTTAGTAGGTGAGTTGTTGTTATTATTATCATTATTAATTGAAGATCAAAAGAACTGGATTTCCGAGTGGGAAATTCAAAAACACATGTTATGACAAAAAATCTAAAGATCAACCAATTTTAACTTTTTTTCATTTTATTTATATACTATATTTAGTAGGGTATCACTCCCACACTCTTGGTATGTTAACAATTGATGGCCTCTCCTGGTACCAATTCATAGATAAAATTTAGAAAATTTCTGATTTTTCTTCTGTGATTTAATAATATGCAATTATTTCTTTGTATTACAGATTGAACTGCAGAGCCCCCAAATTTATATGTCGAAGCTCTAACACCCAAGTACGATAAAAAGTGATCGCATGTAGAGACAGGGTGTTTAAAGAGGTAATTAAGTTAAAATGAGGCCATTAGGGTGGGATCTAATCCAATCTGAGTGGTATCTTTATATAAAAAGAGGAGGTTAAGACATACAGAGAGATACCAGGGGTGTGTGCTCACAGAGAAAAGGCCACCTGGCAGCACAGTGAGAAGGTAGCCATCTGCAAGCCAAGAAGAGAGGCCTCAAGAGAAACTAAACCTGCCATCACCTTGATCTTGAACTTTTAGATTCCAGAACTGTGAGTAAACAAATTTCTGTTGCTCAAACCACCCAGTCCATGACATTGTTATGGCAGCCCTAGCAAATTAATACTCTCAGTAATGGTCACCTTTGCTGGAATTGGGTCTTCAACCAATGTATAAAAACTTGACATGTGAAAATAAAACTGAACAGGTAAGTTATTAGTTGATCATTTTCAGTCACAAAATGATATACCTAGGACTTCGTTAAATTATAAGTTCTTTGGTACATTATAGAGTTACTTCAATTCACAGGCCATTAATTTCTACCAACGAATGAACAATCATCATTAAGTCAATGCAGATTATTGATTGAAAAATGTACCTGACCTGACCACCCCCCATCTAAATTGGGCCCTTTTCTTAAACTCTGTCATAACATCCCTTCCTTTTCCAACATAAGACTTATTAGTTTGTAATTATATATTTATTTGTGAGATTATATACTTAACATCTATCTCCCCGCTGGACTCTCCATGAGACACAATCATCTCTGTCTTGTTCACCACTATATGCTCAGTATCCAATACAATGTCTGATCTTTAATTATTTGTTAAATGAGTGAATAAACAAGTGATAAGGTTCTTAGAACCTTAAGTTGGGGAGGTTGATTGACAGGTTTTAGGATTCCCCTGTATCTCCGGGAACTGTCTTTAAAAACGTGTTCATATACATTTCTCTGAAGAGAGGATTCACAACCTTCATTTGATTTCAAAGGGATCTGTGCACTACCCGAAACATAAGGAACCGCTGGCCTATTTCCGTGTGGTAAAACAAGATTCAATACCAGAAGACTTACCTGCAGCCTAAAACAAAGTATGCTGTATTTACATTTACATGTAATACATGTAATACATATACCCACATGTGTGGGTATATGTATATGTGTGTGTATAATTTCCAAGAACAGAAATGCTGCAGTGAATTTACGGAACAATCCACATTCCCACTTCCCCTGAGTAACTGATCATTCCTGTAGTCACTGAGCTCGAGCAGTAGCCACTTGCATACATTTGTTTCTTGGCAGCAACATCCATCACCCAGGCCAGAGAAAAGGAATCTGTAATTCCCTCCTTTCACCTGCTTGGGATGCTGACATCCCTCTTTGCAGAAAGCTTCTTTTAATAACAAACCTTAAACCTCCCATTTAATGAAGGCACCAGGCCATGTTTATCAAGCACAGGCGTGCAGGCAATTTGATCCAAAAACCCTGGGATTTCCCTTCCCTCACCCTGAAGCCAGAGAGGAGATCCAGACTAATCAGGCCAAGGAGGCCTCTGAGTGCTGTGTGCATTCACAGTGAGGGAGGCTACTAGATGGGCTGGGACACACTAATTGGCTGTTGTATACTAAATCTCTTCTCTCTCCCAGTTCCAGAAGATACTTCCCTTCAGTAAATTTCCTTCCTTAAAATGAAGACTTCAACAGTAAATCTGTCCGAAGAAAGGTTTTTGATGTGCTGTTAACTCTCAGTTATCCATACTAGCAGAGAAGAGCAGTTGTACAGATAATTCAAAACCAAAGGCTCTTTTGATTTAACTTTGAAGTTCACTGTTTCTAGGGGCTTGGTGGTGGATTTACCTCCCTAATTATGGTTGTCTTTGTTTCTTATTAAAATGAGTTTGTCTGCCTTAGGGCCAGGCAGTTGGGTGACGTGAAAATTCTGGCACAGAATCTGTAAAACTCACCAGGGAAAATCCACAAGGCACACAAATAATCAGACTTGATTAGATTTGAGTTCACATTCTTAATCACCTGTTATCAATTGCTTTGCTACTCTACATTAAAGGGAAACAGAAATGAGATATATTTACAGGAGACCAGTGGGAAGAGAATGAGTCTTTATATTTAGATGAAGACACAAGACTGTGTTGTGGCCAAGACTGATAACACAATCAGTGTTGATGATTTTCCTGCCTGGTCTCACAACCTTCATCTGCCTGGTCTCACAACCTTCATCAATACAGCCAGAGTGATCTTTCTATGCAAGTCTCATGATGTTCACCTCTACCTAACATCCTTCAGTGTGCTAGTCATTAGAGCTGTTCACAACCATTCTGCTCTCTCCTTCCCAGCATGTGATAGGACTACACGATGTCCCCAGCCACTTCAAATTAGACGTGGTTCTGTGATTGGCATTGGCCAATGGAATGTAAGCAAATGTGTCACTTCTAGTTGGAAGGTTTCAGAGCCAGCGTGTGTCCAGCATTTGTCCTTGGGTACATGCTTCGTCTGGCAAGGCTGGCAGCATCTGAGCTGGCAGATCTGAGCTGGTGGCTATACCATCAGCCCAGGTCTCCCTGGGTGGCTATGAAGCAGAGCTCCTACAAGCTAGGGATGGGTGTGTGGTAGGAACAATAAACAAACCTCTGTTGTTTTCAACCACTGAGATTTTAAGGTTCTTAGTTAACTCAGCATATCCCTATCACTACATATATCAAGCTGCACCATGATTGTCTAAGTTTTCTTTCTCTAGTTAGACATTGAACAACTTGAAGCCAGAATTATTTAATTAAAAATAATGGCAAAAGCGCAATTACTTTTGCATCAGCCTAAAATATTTCTTCTCCAGTGTGTTAATTCCGGTGCACAGCATGTTTAAAAGAGCCTGGTAGAAAATGAAATTCTCTTCCTTCTTGGCCTCTGTGATTCACCTTGTTTCTGTTTTTCTAACACTTGCTCCACTCCCAACATCATCAGCTACAATGATAAGCTGTCTTTGTTTCTCAGATATATGAGGAAGGGTGGAGCTAGTCTTCTGGACCAATAATTCAGGTAGGAAGAGCTGGTGGAGGAGACAGGCATTCTTAGGCTGCAGGAGTTTGAAATATAGTGGCTTCAAGGAGCAGACACAATTTTGAAATAAAGGGTAACCATGCAGGGAAACAAAAATATATCCCTAAGTGTTAGGTTTATGAAGAATAAGAGTGGTCGTATGGACTGAACTCCTCCATCCTTATCATTATCATAACACCAGCGTTTACTGATGACTTACTATGTGCCAGGCGCCGTTCTCATTGTTTTACAGTTAACACATTAAATCCTTGCAACAACCTTATATAGTAGCTATTATTATTTCCATTTTATATATAAGGAAACTGAAGCATAGAGAGGTACAGTAAGTTCTATCTGGCCACACAGTTAGCAAACATCCCTCTCTGAGTGTTCAGCATCTGCCTGAACACTGCCCATCATGGAGAGCTCACTATCCTCCACTGCATCCCACCCCACCTCCCGCTCTGAGCCATGTCCTGCCTCCCCCTCAAACTGCCATCCCCTGAACATTTCTGCCTTCTAAACAAACATAAAGCAATTCTACTCTTTTCTCTTTAAGGCAGTCCTTTAAATATTCGAAGGCAGCAATCACATGTTCCTTAGGGTTTCTCTTCCCCAGTCTAAACAGCCCCAGGTCACTCAACCATTTCCAATGTGCCACAGCTTGAGGCCCCTCACCATCCCAGCTCAGTGACTCACATATGCTGGGGACAAAAAAAACGTTGGCTAAGTCAGTGAAGTGGAACTGGTGGAACTCGCCCTTCTAGACTTGAGCTGAGCCAATGCCTCCTACAACCCCCGGCACATTTTTTCACTGTGTAAAGCAGGATCTGGAGGCATAATCTGCTGCAGGAACAGCTGGCTGGCCACATGCCCTGCACTCATCCTCATTCCAACAAATGGAATACCAAAGGGTCCGCATGTTCACAGTTCTTCCTTGAGTGGAAAGTCTGTTTCTGTCCCTCCTCCCCCTTCTCCCCACTCTCCCACTCCCAGAGGCAGCCCTGAGAACAGCCCCTCAGCTCACCATAGAGTTCATGGCAAAGTGATTGTGCTGCGTCTGGAGGTCGAGGGCGTACTGGTAGCTGACTCCGATCTCCGTGTGGCTCTGTAGGAATAACTCCTTGTTGTGGCTTATCCAGTCGAACATCTAGAGGGGACAAGAAAGCACAGCGTAATCAGAATAGTCATGGGTCGAAAAGGGCAAAACTTTCCGAGCTAGTGGAAGGGGGAAAAGCTCTCTTGCTGCTCAGTTATTGTTCTGAGTCGGAGAGTCTTAATGGGGTGGGCCACAGCCTGGTTTCTCAGGAGGGCCCTCACTTTTAGCTTAAGAACCCACCAGCACTTTGGGAGGCCGAGGCGGGCGGATCACAAGGTCAGGAGACTGAGACCACGGTGAAACCCCGTCTCTACTAAAAATACAAAAAATTAGCCCGGCGCGGTGGCGGGGGCCTGTAGTCTCAGCTACTCGGGAGGCTGAGGCAGGAGAATGGCGTGAACCCGGGAGGCGGAGCTTGCAGTGAGCCGAGATCGCGCCACTGCACTCCAGCCTGGGCGACAGAGCGAGACTCCGTCTCAAAAAAAATAAAAAAAGAACCCACCAGCAGCCGCTGTGTTGCATTACAGAGCCTAAGGGAAAAAGAGAAAATGAGTGAGATGATTGGGAGATGGGAGAGGAAGCTGTTTACCATTCCCAGCATGCTTGCTTTAGGGACAGGTGCTGAGGAGACAAGCTGGGAGGCTTAATGCATCTCCTGCTGCACTAGTAGAAGACAGAAATCTTTGAAGAAAGCAACAGGGACATCCTTACTCGCCCCTGCCCCTCTTATACACTGCCCAGCCACACACAATGTTGAATTGATTCTGAACTGAATCAACTTTTCTCATAACTCTGCAGCCTCACGATTCCAGGGTTTCTGCTATAACCAACTGGGAAGCAGAAAATGAGGGTTTTAAGGGTGGTATAAGTACTGCCTGGTGCTAGCACAGTGGGCATTGAGCCATCTTCCTCCTCCTAACTCCATACCCTGGTTTTCACTTAGGTATCCAGCCGTCTTCCAGGCAGCCCACATACTTCAATGGGAGCTGACCAGAACCCCTGGCTCTTTGGGACACCAGACCTAAGCCAACCAGTGCATGACATTTCCCAACCAATGGGATTGTCTCAGATATAAGAATGGGATCCAATTTAATACAATAAAACACAAGGGAAGTTTGCTAGAAACTTATAGGAAAACAGAATCCTAGTTATTTAGTTATAGCTTCTCTTCCTCCAGTATTGTTGTATATGGCTCTGACCTCAAATTGTTGCAGCCATTCTTCTGGCAGCCTAAGGGTGAAGCCAATGGGTAGAGAAAGGGTGGAGCCAAGACAACTGCAGGAAGCAGGCAGAGCCCTGGCTGAGCGTTGTCTGGTTTCCACTTTGTCTCTGGACTTCCTTGGACCTCAGCCAACAAATCCTCTTTATTATTAAAGCCAGTTGAAGTTGGACTTTCTGTAATTTTCTGTCCAGAGCAGAAAATTCTACTCTTTTCTCTTTAAGGCAGCCCTTTAAATATTTGAAGGTAGCCATCACATGTCCCTTACAGTTCTCTCTTCCCCAGAGGAATGCGGACTGGAAGGGAAGAGAAAATGGTTAGGAGGCTGCTACAGAAAACCTGATGAGGGTGAGGACCTGGAAACTCAACCATTTCCAATGTGCCATAGCCCGAGGCTCCTCATCATCTCAGCTCAGTGACTCACACATGCAGAAGACCAAAATACAATGGTTAAGTGAGCAAAAGCCAGGAAAGGTGTGAAAGAGTATATTTGGAGAAGATAACTGCACTACTTAAGCCTCACACTGCATTTGGGATGGACTAAAGGCCGCAGCCCAGTTGCAGAGTGGAGCAGGAAGCAGCTGAGAACACAAGCAGGCTAAGAAGTGGCCATAATTGTACCAGCTTTCCGGAGCCAGAACTGCAGCCTTATCCAATTATGTCCCTTTAACAGAAGAGTGAATTGACTATTTCAATTACATTCAACCAATATTTATGGGACACCTGCTATATGCCAGGGACCACTGGAGGTGACATGAGGCAAAAATGACTAAAATATGGTTCTTGAGTATTAGTGGCCTACAGGCTAATGTGGAAAGTTGACATGGACTCAGATACAACTTTATTACAATCTGGCACACAATGTGATTAAAATTACAACTCAAAAAACATCTACTGATAAGATAGAGGTGAATACTGGCTGTTGAGGGAGCACAGAGGCGGACACCTCACCTATCCTTGAGGAGATGGGGAAGAGCAGAGAAGGCTTCTCAGAGGAGGTGACATCTGAGTCGAGCCTTGATTCAGGTAGGAATCAGCGAGGTGGCCAGTGGGATGCATGCTCAGGCAAAGCAACAGAACTGGGGCAGCCTACTGTGTTGAGGACAATGAAGGGTCCTCAGCTGTGTTCTGGAGCCTGACATCAAGGAGGAGGTGTGGCTGGGGAGGTAGGTGGGACAGGCTGACCACAAAGAGCCTTGTACACAGGCTTCGGGGAACCTAGACCACACATTGTCGGCTGCCAGGTGTTGGTGGAAGGTTTTAAGCTGGATTGTGAAGTGTGAAGTGAGCTTTGATGGCAGAGAGGGATGTGGACTGGAAGGGAAGAGAAAAATGGCTAGAAGGCTGCTCCAGAAATCCTGACGAGGGCGAGGACCTAGAATCCTGGATTAGGGGAGTGGCAGTAGAGTCTGAGAAACTGGCAGATTTGAGAGCTACTAGGAGGATTGGGGACTTGGTTGTTTAGAGAGGAGAAGGTGGGGAAGAGGTAGATAGAGCAGCCAGGCTTCTGGCATGGCACCCTGAGTCCTGGTAATAAAAAGTACCACCACAGATGCTGCCTCAACAGTAAGGTAGGAAGCTTGGGTGGGAAATAGTATGTTCTGTTCTAGATGTGCTGAGTTTGGGAGGCTTATGAGAGGGGAGGTATCCAGTAGGCAGTTATTTGTGTCTAAAGGTCAGGAGAGAGACATCAGGGCTGTAACAACCCACACTTAAGTATAAAAACATCACCTTCCAAAGGCAAATGTGCATGATTTGGAGATTATTCTCCCTTTTGAATTACACTTCCATCTACTTACACCGACAGTAAAGAAAGGACGAAAGGACCATTCTTTACTTCTGAGTGTCAGAGGATTTATTTCAGGCTGGGGCTCCTGTAGAGGTTGGGTCGATATTTGTGCTTTGTGCACTATACTGGGTCCTCCAGCCTCAGCTACCCTCGTTCAAGGCTTTTATTTTTTCTTCTTTAATTATTATTAAGGACAAGAAGGAAAAGACAGACGCCCCAGGAATTTAGAGGACTCTCATTCTGTAATTTTTATCTTTAAAAGCCTGCCTCCCAGCCCTATTTTAAAATAATTTCTCATTTCTTTTCTTCATTGACAAAAGAATCAATAAAGTTAATGAAAGTCTGAAATGCCTGAAGTCCTTGGAACTTGTGATGAAAATGCTCACTCCATACACTTTCTTGGATGTCTCAGTAGCCGATAAGTGACCTTCCCTGTATTTTATGTTAAATGGTGATTTAGATATGCAAATAAGTAGATGACTTATGTGCTGGCACCAGAATGATTAGATTGCTTGGCACCAGATCCCTCGACCACAGAGTAGGGAAAGCTGAACACCAGCCAATTAGGGCGGAAAGCAATGCAAAAATGAGTTAAAGAAAGGTGAGAGTTGAGAGTGCTGAAGGAACTGTGCACCTTGCTGAATCAGCTTCTTACAGAATAAGGTCTGCGCCCATGTCATCCCAACTGATTTTGCCTCCTATATTTGGAGCATACCAGCTTGTCACTGGGGTCTGGGACATTCTGGAAAAGTTTAGCTGTCACTGGAGGTGGTGCTCCAAAGAGGCGACACACATCTCAGTAGAGAGAAAAAGACCTGCTCTGGGGATTAGATGGTCTCATGTGATGTCAGGAACTAGGGTTTCCTAAGGGACAATCACAAGTCTTCTCTGGGCCTAAACTTGCTGCCTACTTGCATATAATCCTCACCTTTGCAAGGCTGGCTGTCTGCAAGGGTCATAGTCATCTCTGTTGCATTCAGTGGAACTGGTGGCAGAGGTAGAATGTGTGCATGCATGAATGCATGCATGTGCATGTATATATACAGTCAAGTGAGATGAGGACTAGGCTGGTTCCAGGCCCAGCTCTGTCACTAACTCCACATGAGACTGTGGAAGAGTCACTTCATTTCTGGTCTTCTCCTCATTTGCAAGAGATAGTGGTTTGCAGAATGGAGGTAAGCATCCTGCTTTATAATAGGCTCAATCTGGAAATGTACAGAATGCGTTTTTTCCACCCAAAATAAAAAATAGTTTTGTTGATTCTCCTGGATCAGAAGATATGTTCATTGCTACAACTTACACTTCTATCTTTTTGAATAAAATAATGTCAGTGAGAAAAATGGCATTATTTTATAGCCAGAGAAGCTTCTGGGCTTGGTCATGGGTGCCTGTAATCCCAGCTACTTGGGAGGCTGAGGCAGAAGAATCACTTGAACCCGGGAGGCAGAGGTTGCAGTGAGCTGAGATTGTGCCACTGCACTCTAGCCCAGGCCACAGTGTGAAACTCCATCTCAAAAAAAAAAAAAAAGAAGAAGAAGGGAAGAAGGGAAGCTTCTTAGTCTCAGCCCTGACAATTGTGTGATGCTTTAGAGTTCAAAATGTTCACTCACTCTTCATCATTACATTGCATCCATAAAACAATCCCACAAGGTGCTATCATCAGGCCCACTTCACAGGCAGGAAAACAGGTTCAGGGAAGTAAATTCCAGGGTGTAGATTTAATTCATTCTACCCAAGGCCACATTCACCATTGAGCCATGCTTTGGGGACACCGCCCTGCCTCCTGCTCACATGGCTGTAAGACTTGCTCTGCTTGAGCTCCACAGGGCAGTTATCCTTAAAAGTTAGCTGAAAGGGCATTGCAGTACTCCAGCTGGGGTAAGGTGCTATTCCTCAATAGGAACATTCCCCTGCCATTATCTAGCCTGCTCCTCCTCTGCCTCCTCCTTCTTCTCCTCTTCCTCCACTGCCTGCCCCACCAAGATGGAATACTAGATGTCTGGGGACAGCTGATTCAAATAGCTCTAGTTCTCTCAGTACTCA